TTCTAAGACGGAGCCTGCAGGACCTTCAGCAGAAAAGCTCTTTGAAGATTGTCTTCTTCTTGCTATCTCCCCATCTCCAACTTCTTGTTCGGTTAGCTGATCGCTGGGCTAGAGTAAGGGAACCAGGAAAGGATGCAATGGTCCAGGAGTGATTTTTTTGGGGCACTTGCAGTTTTCCCTTTCCCAAGCACAACGGCATGTTCTCCATGCACGGCAATGGCATGCAGTCCTGAAATGTGAGCACTTAAGGAGCCGCCTAACTTCCTCTACATCACTCCCTGGCACCTTGGCACAATGGGCTAAATTCAGAAGTGACCTCAGGGTGGGTAGGGGACAGATCACTCAGCCAACATAAAGGTGCAGGAACAAGTTTGGAGCCCAGGGTAGAAAGGAGTGTTCTAATGCAAAACCCATTTGGGAGGTCTCTGAGGGGTTCTGTCCCAAACTCACATGTAACTTCTTACAGAGAAGTTACACGAATGGAGAAGCACTTCCTCATGTATCCTTTAGTTTGCAATTTATGGCATGTCTGAACATGATCTGCTCTAGGGTGACACTTCTGTTTTTGTCCTATCTAGCTGCAGGGCTGAGTGAGCTGCCGCTTAGTTTGAAACTGCTTCTCTTTGGCTAATTAAGCTTCTGTCACACTAACGAAAAGGAACTTTGCCAGATACCAGAAGATTCATAAGGACCTCAGACTGCATAATCTGAGGCTTTTGGCCATTGTGTCTCTTTTTTATCACATACTTCGGGGTAGGAGAAGGGGAAACCCTGCTGAAATTAAGGGATGCCTTCAGAGCAGGCTGCATGGCAATAGGGAAACTTGGCAGCCTCTTGTACACACATATCAAACAGTATTTACTGGACATTTAATAGCTTTCTGATTTTAACTAATTCCAGGAGATAAACCAAAGAGCAATACTGAGATCAGGGCTAGAGCCCAGGTACTAGTTTGGGACTAGCACAAGTGTTTAGCTTTGACTTTTTGTCGATGCCAATTTACAGGGCCAGTGTTCACCATCTTTAATTAAAGACTCATCACAGTTCTCTCCTGACCTCAGATCCATTCTGCTTGTTCCTTATTATTGTTAAAAATGAGTCAGCTGATGAACGGAGAGGTAAGATGTATCCAAGAGGCAAGAATGATCCAAGGAAGAGTGACTTCCCTTTACCATTCATTCATGATTGGTAAAACTTTCACAGTTTGCTCATCTTATAAGCCATCAACCAAAATCTCTTAAAGTTACTTACTGAACAGGGTATTTTGTTTGAGTTTTAGTAGTTAGGCCAGATCTATTTCAAGCTTAGTTCAAGATGGGTGGATGTAAGAGGAGAAGGAGTTCACCTTTGTTTTGAGTATTGACGTGATGAGTATCACACAGGGTCAAATGGCTCTTCATAACCTGCAGGTGTGTTACAAACATCACTTTTTAGAACCTTATGTTGCCCCATAAGGTGCTGTAGCACAGTCGTGATATTTGATAAAGCCCTTTTAAATCATTTTGTCTTCTGTTATGGTTTGTGGAAAGGGTTGCAGAGCAGACAAGCACAAATCTTAGACCATTCACACTGTTGGTGTGATCACTAATGCTGAAGTAATTTCATATTTGTTTTCTGTGATGTCTAGGTTTAATGTTTGCTCAAAGTGGATATTTGTTCTGTGGAAATGTGGGCAAGAAACACAAGTAGGGTCCTGAGTAGACCAGAACAAGATTTTTACATACTTGGCCAACCTAGCATCATCTCCACTTGGTGGATGGAAAGCTGATAGCTAAAGGCAAAAGTGATTAAGTATCTTCTCAAAGATCATATTAGCAGTTAATGTCACAGGCAAGAAGGAGATTTTTATCTATTTTTTTTTTCTCCTTCTCATTCAAAATGCTTACAGTCATTATTCATGGAGATTATTCATTTAGGGCAATCTATAGTACTACAGCTCTACAGATAAGGAATGAATTACTGTGATAATGTCAGGAATGCTTAGTATAGGGAACCTCATTTGTGACCCAGGAAATATGGAAGTGTTGGAAATATGGAAGAATGTGAATCACTTTCCCTCTGTTCTGTCCTGGTCTGGCAGTAAGAAAGGAAGATGAAGACAGGTATGCAAAGGAACGGGAGCAGAGAATGCATCTTGTGGTCTTCCTTTGGGATGTAGAGGTTGGTACTGGATGGAGCGGAAGAGGGACAATTTTCTGCCATCAGGTTGCAAAGCATGGAAAGAGTCAGGAATCACAAATGCACTTTGGGAACACCAGGGTTCCCAAAAACCCTCAGGGGCATGAGCTCTGCCAGGTCCTCATGGCATGTCTGCAGCTAAGCTCTTGCTTCCCACATTTCCTGCTTGGATAGCTGTAAGGGCTCCCGCTTGAGTTGGCAGGAGAAAACAATATCTCAGTGCATGCAAGGCCCACACGTACGGACCGGCCCAGGAGATCGGGTGGTGATTTAGTAGACTACACTGGTCAGGCCCACATAAGATTTGTCATCTGTGGGGTAATATGATTCAGCATTCATAAATCATGGAGACCCAGCAAGTCATAACAAGGCACAGAGGTTGATTGCTGCTGGACTGGGCTGCTCGCATGTGGTGGTGAGGGAACACACTGCGTATGGATGGGTCATCACCATGTACAGAGAAACTGTCATATTTGATACTGAAACTTCACCCCGAAAGCACCATAAATGCAAGATGATGCTCGGACCTCCTACAGACCACGTGCTGTGGCCTCGTGAGCTGCTAGCACTCTTTGTCCTGCAGTTTAGTCCTGGTTGGCGGCTCTGATGAGTTACACCATTGCAAAGCAGAAAAGAATTGGAGAGCTAAAACAAGCATGTCGGGAGAGCTTAAGAAGGCCGAGCAGTGTTAAATATAACAAGAGCAACAGCTGTGTTTTATAGCCGTGTTGCTCTTCTGGGGCGCTGGGTAAAGCCGCCCGCCCACATTCCCCCCACAGCCCCTCTGAGTGTGGTGAGGGCAGGTGGAGGCCACTCCAAACAACAAAACAAGCACAGCTGAGCCTCAAACCCCGCCGCAGGAGCCAGCATCATCGATCCGCCCGGCCCTACGACACAGCAGCAAGGCGCGAGGCACAGCTTGGTCTGGCAGATAGTCGCCTACTGCTTGAAGGAGACTTCAAGGGGGTCAAGGAAGACACAACCGCGTCCTTACAGGGGGTCTTGGCACTTCCACCCAGGAGCAGAGGTGGCTGCTCAGAGGCAGTCGTGCTGGTGTTTGCTCTGCGCGTGGATGGCAGGCTCTGTCCCATGTGTCACGCCACGGGAAGGGCGGTATGGCAACTGCAGCCTCGCTCTCTACCCCCCGTAGTGCTGGTTTGGGGAAAATGGTTCAGGGACCAGAAAAGAGCCCTTACCCTTTGGCAGAGGCTATGGCATCAGTTTACCAGGAGCATTAAATAAACACAGTCATGATGGTGTGATCAGTGGCATGGGAGCTGGTGTCACCTGCCTACAATGGGGATACGGGGCCTGCGGGCTGCTGGAACAGGGGGTGGCAGGACATGGGGTGGCAAGACATGGGGTGGGGGGCACGATATAGGTTGGTGGTGACACACAGGGTAGTGATGAGACATGAGGTAATGGTGGGACATAGAATTTTGATGCAACACAGGGTGGCGGCAGGACACATGGTGGTGGTGGGACATGGGGTGGTTGTGGAACACAGCATGGTCGCAGTATACAGGGTGGCTGTAAGACACAGTGGCGGTGGGACGCCGGGTGGTCGTGGAGCATAGGTTGGTGATGGAACACATGCTAGTGTTGCAATATATGGTGGTGATGGGCCCTGTTGTAGTGGCGGGGCACAGTGTGTTCACAGAATACAGGGTGCTAGTGTAACATAGGGTGGTGGAGGGACACAGGGTCTCGGTGGGGCACTGAGTAGTAGTGAATCACAGGGTGGTGGTTGGACATGGGGTGGGGGTGGGATACCGGGTGGTGGTGGGACACCGGGTGGTGGTGGGACATGGGGTGGTTGTAGGACATGGTGTGGTGCTGGGACATAGGCCATGATGGGACATGGGGTGCTGTTGGACACAGGATGGAGGTGGACCATGTGGTGGTGGTGGTACACAGGGTGATGCTGGGACATAGGGAGGGTCGTGAGACACAGGGACAGTGTTGGGACATAGGATGGTGTGGGACAGATCATGGTGGGGTATGGGGTGGTAGTGGGACACAGGGTGACTGTGGGACACGGGGTAGTGGTTGGGCTTTGAGTATTGGCATGACATATGATGGCAGGGGTGGTGGTGGGACCTGGCGCATAGGACAGTGGCATCAGGGTGTGTGTGTGGGGGGTGCAAATCGGCCTGCTGGGTTGGCAGTTCTTGGCTTGGTGATAGTGGGACACAGGAGGGGCCGACAAAGAGGCAGGCCCAGGGTGCCGGGACGCGGGTGGCGGGCGGAACGCGCGCGCAGGGCT